AGGTACACTTTAACTAGTAATGAAGACTTCACTCAGGCTCTGTGAAAACAAGTAAAATGAAGGGATATGTTATTTAGTGAAATTGGCAGTCCAAATGATATACTATAAAAGTCAGGAATGCAGAATTTGGAATTTAGAGGGATAAGTAGTTGTAACTGTGTAATTTGTTGAACAGTCTGACTGGCTCCTTGTGTTGGTATTCGTTTTCTCAAACTGCAGGTCTGTTTAGCAGGGAGCTAATATAAAGACAAATTTGAGAATCTATACCAGTTGCGTATAAATACTTTTAATGTTTAACTTTCAATGAATGAAGAATATAGTTATTGGCAGTTCCTTAAAGTGGTTAAAAACCTCTAAAATGAAAAAAACAACAACCAAGCACATCTTTCTATAGTGTGTACTTGCCTCAATCCAAAGAACCTAGTGTGATTTCTGGCTGCCCTGCCACCCTACTTCTGCTATCTGCATGCGTCACTTATGACGGTTTAAATGGATACCAGGCAATCCTGGGAGATGACCACACTCCCTACCGCCACACAGCAGGTGATCGACAGCCTCAGCTGTGCATGTTTACCAATAAGACTGCTACATGGGGTATGTCCATTCTCTCTACTCATTTCTCATATTACACTCAGCTCTGTGCTGTGGGCTGCAAAGTGTGTGATATCAGATCCCCATCCCTGCCTTCTGGAAGCTGAAAAATATACTTTGATGTGTGAATGTTGAACAGCTGTAGAGAGGAGAGGTCTGCAGATAAACAGGTACAATGTGGGAGGATTTCATTCATCACTGTGTATCACCTGAGACTAGTCACCTCAGTGGGTATATGTGATGGTTTACAAACACTTTAAACAGCATGTATATGTAAGGGGTAGCTATGAAACTCAGCCACCATAGGAATTTTAAAAAGAAAAGTGCTGGATGTACTGTGCTGATAAAGTTCATGCCTACAAGCTCTTACTGAGATCTACAATACAGACACAATCTGTGATCTGTCTGCTGGTGACAACTAAACATCACATCATCAGGATTGTTCCTGCCTTGTACTGTTTTGTCGAAACCTTCCTTGGGGACAAAAAACAATTAAGCTTCCTTAATTTCGTACACCAATTTATCATTCGCTTATCAACATCAGTTAGTGAGCTGGTTGTTCTGAACACAATCTCGCCTCATCTCTTGGCAATTTTTGGGCGTTGCAGTCATTTTACACTTCATTGCCGTAATTACGTGACCTTGTCCAGGCTAGATTATATGTAGCCTCCAGAGCATAATCTCATTCTGCTGCGTGAGAGATGTTAGTTGCGTCTTACCATTAATTATGTTGGAACAGCTGGTGACTGGTTACTTTTTATGTACGACTATCCTATTCCATGATCTCTGTCTTTGTCATTACTTCAAGTGATGCAGGAGGTCAAAGCCATTCATAAAGGAAATGAAGCCAGCAGTTAATCATAACAAAGTCTAATTGTACAGTATTATTATTATGAATAATTATGTTTTCACTGCACATTAGAAGTCATTATCGCAGCTATAAAATATGTAGATGCCACTGACAACAACAATATAATTAAATCTCTGATGCCTTGTATAAAACGGCACATTATCACTTCTCTATGTCTGTTGTTGCTATTGATTTTGATAAGCATTCAAGGTAAAGGTACTGCATTGAGAATTGATGATTTTTCTATGGAATATCTGACAGTCACAAATACACTATATTGCCAAAGGTATTGGGACACCCCTCCATATCATTGGATTCAGGTGTCCCAATCACCTCCATGGCCACAGGTGTATAAAATAAAGCCCCTAATTGGGGCCATCCATCCCTCCTCCAGCACTCCCCTCCCTTTTTTTTTTTTCTTTCTCTTCCCCACTCCACCCCAGACCTTACCCTACACCCATTTCCTCCCCTGACTCTTTAAGGAAAAAAAAGGATATATCTTGGGTGTCAGGGCTCCCGGGTATGACCAGAGGTATGTGAATGACGCAGGGAAACGCAGACTTCCGATAAGTTATAAAACAATTTATTAACACTAACAATACAAACAAAACGCAGTGCAATACTAAAACATAACACAGTGCCAATGAACTAAACCAAACCACCCACAGATAACAGTACATACAGTGCAAGCGTCGTCAGGCAGGTCGGGCCAATATCAATCGGGCAGATAGGTACAGGGGGAGCAAGCGGAGAATAGTCAGGTCACGAGCAGGGTACAGCAACTAACAGGCAGGTAGGTACAGGGGGTCAGGCAGAGAATGGTCGGGGTCACAAGCCAGGGATCAGAACAGGAGAAGTCAGCAGAGGTCAGAATCAAGCCGGGTCAGCAACAAGACAGGAACAGGAACAGGAGCAGGAGCAGGATGCAGGAACAAGATACAGGGCCCAGGAAAAACACAACACCAAGGCAGAGTCTGCAGGTCTGAATGTCCCTTAAATACACCAGTATAATTAGTTCCAGGTGTTTGACTGGCTGCAAGGTTGAGTCTCTGATTGCTGGGAGCACCCGCTGGCCAGCCTGGTACTGCAGCTCACAAGGCAGGTGAGTCCCACTATTGCTAGCCAGTCCATTCCTGACAGTACCCCCCCCCCTCAAGGAGCGGCCTCAGGACGCTCCAAACAGTCCTAGCTGGGCGAAATGTTCCACCGCCCGGGTCTGGTAACTGGGGGGATATCAAAGACTGGCACACCGGGCAGGACTCCGGGCAGCGGCACACCGGGCAAGACTCCGGGCAGCGGCACACCGGGCAGAGGCACACCGGGCAGAGGCACATCGGGCAGAGGCACATCGGGCTGGACTCCGGGCAGAGGCACATCGGGCTGGACTCCGGGCAGAGGCACATCGGGCTGGACTCCGGGCAGAGGCACATCGGGCTGGACTCCGGGCAGAGGCACATCGGGCTGGACTCCGGGCAGAGGCACATCGGGCTGGACTCCGGGCAGAGGCACATCGGGCTGGACTCCGGGCAGAGGCACATCGGGTGGACTCCGGGCAGAGGCACATCGGGCTGAGGCACATCGGGCTGGACTCCGGGCAGAGGCACATCGGGCTGACTCCGGGCAGAGGCACACCGGGCTGGACTCCGGAGGCACATCGGGCTGGACTCCGGGCAGAGGCACATCGGGCTGGACTCCGGGCAGAGGCACATCGGGCTGGACTCCGGGCAGAGGCACATCGGGCTGGACTCCGGGCAGAGGCACATCGGGCTGAGGCACATCGGGCTGACCCCAAGGCAGAGGCACATCGGGCTGGACTCCGGGCAGAGGCCCCCACCGGGCTGAGGCACATCGGGCTGGACTCCCGGGCAGAGGCACATCGGGCTGGACTCCGGGCAGAAGCACATCGAGCTGGACTCCGGGCAGAGGCACAGGCGGGTTGGACTCCGTGGCAGAGAGGGCACATCGGATTACCCCCAGGTGAAGCAGCAGGCACCGGGCCCCCAAGCAAAGCAGCAGGCACCGGGCCCCCAGAGGAGCGGCGCGCGGGCCCCCAGGCAGAGAGGCGACAGGCAATCGGGCCCCCAGGCGGGGCGACAGGCATCGGGCCCCCAAGCGGAGCGGCAGGCACCGGGCCCCCAGGAGGGGCGACAGGCATCGGGCCCCCTGGCAAGAGCGGCGGGCGCCGGAGTCCCAGGCGGAGCGGCGGGCGCCGGGTCCCCCAGGCAGAGCGACAGGTCTCGGGCCCCCAGGCGGAGCGGCGGGCATCGAGTCACCAGGCACGACAGTGGGCACCGAGTCGTCTGTCAAGACTGCGGGCACCGAGTCGTCTGGCAAGACTGCGGGCACCGAGTCGTCTGGCAAGACTGCGGGATCGAGTGGGCACTGGCGTCAACTGGCAAGACTGCGGGCACCGAGTCGTCTGGCAAGACTGCGGGCACCGAGTCAACTGGCGGAACAGCGGGCATCGAGTCAACTGGCGGAACAGCGGGCACCGAGTCGTCTGGCAAGACTGCGGGCACCGAGGTCGTCTGGCAAGACTGCGCGGGCACCGAGTCGTCTGGCAAGACTGCGGGCACCGAGTCGTCTGGCGGAACAGCGGGCAACGAGTCGTCTGGCGGAACAGCGGGCACCGAGTCGTCTGGCAAGACTGCAGGCACCGAGTCGTTTGGCAAGACTGCGGGCACCGAGTCGTCTGGCAAACATTGTGGGCACCGAGTCAACTGGCAAGACTGCGGGCACAGAGTCGTCTGGCAAGACTGCGGGCACCGAGTCAACTGGCGGAACAGCGGGGCACCGAGTCAACTGGCGGAACAGACTGCGGGCACCGAGTCGTCTGGCAAGACTGCGGGCACCGAGTCGTCTGGCAACAGACTGCGGCACCGAGTCAACTGGCGGAACAGCGGGCACCGAGTCAACTGGCGGAACAGCGGGCATCGAGTCAACTGGCGGAACTGCGGGCACCGAGTCGTCTGGCAAGACTGCGGGCACCGAGTCGTCTGGCAAGACTGCGGGCACCGAGTCAACTGGCGGAACAGCGGGCATCGAGTCAACTGGCGGAACAGCGGGCACCGAGTCGTCTGGCAAGACTGCGGGGCACCAAGTCGTCTGGCAAGACTGCGGGCCACCGAGTCAACTGGCGGCAAGACTGCGGGCACCGAGTCAACTGGCGGAACAGCGGGCATCGAGTCAACTGGCGGAACTGCGGGCACCGAGTCGTCTGGCAAGACTGCGGGCACCGAGTCAACTGGCAAGACTGCGGGCACCGAGTCATCTGGCAACAGAACGAGTCAACTGGCGGCGGGCACCGAGTCGTCTGGCAAGACTGCGGGCACAGAGTCGTCTGGCAAGACTGCGGGCACAGAGTCAACTGGCGGAACAGCGGGCATCGAGTCAACTGGCGGAACAGCGGGCACCGAGTCGTCTGGCAAGACTGCGGGCACCGAGTCGTCTGGGGCAAGACTGCGGGCACCGAGCATCAACAACTGGCGGAACAGCGGGCATCGAGTCAACTGGCGGAACAGCGGCACCGAGTCGTCTGGCAAGACTGCGGGCACCGAGTCGTCTGGCAAGACTGCGGGCACCGAGTCGTCTGGCAAGACTGCGGGCACCGAGTCGTCTGGCATTGGATCGTACTGGCATTGGATCGTCTGGCTCGACAGCGGGCATTCGGGTCACCAGGTATGACAGCGGGCACTGGGTCACCAGGCATCAGTCATTTGGCTCGCCAGCGGGCACCGCGTCATCTGGCAAGGCAGTGGGCACCGAGTCACCAGGTACGACTGCGGGCTCTGAGTCAATTGGCACGACAGCGGGCACCGGATCAGGTACCGGATCATCTGGATCAACAGCGGGCATCGAGTCAACTGGCCTAATAGGATCATCAGGCTGGATCAGTTCATTATGCTGGGTAGAAGCATCCGGCTGAGTAGAGGCATCCGGCTGAGTAGAGGCTTCAGGCTGAGTAGAGGCTTCAGGCTGAGTAGAGGCATCCGGCTGAGTAGAGGCTTCAGGCTGAGTAGAGGCTTCAGGCTGAGTAGAGGCTTCAGGCTGAGTACAGGCATCAGGCTGAGTACAGGCATCAGGCTGAGTACAGGCATCAGGCTGAGTACAGGCATCAGGCTGAAGAGAGGCATTAGGCTGAACCACGGAAGGCAGGTTCTCAGACGGTAGAGCTCACCGGTTTTGGGATACTGGCAGGATGGTACTGGTTGAAAGAATTTTCGCTTTTTTTCTGGTTTAACTACTGGGGCACTGCAAGTAAACGCAGGTCTGCAAATGAATGGAGCAGCTGGAGACAGAGAAGAGCTGGAGGATGGAACAGGGGAAGGAACAGTCGCTACAGAGGGCTTCTTATACAGGGTTAAAGGCAGGATAGGTTGCAGCGAGTGGGAACAGAGGTACTGACATGCGGTAGATAGCCAAGTATACTGGGCTGTAACTGGAGGAGCTGTTGGGAATACAAAGGAGTAGAGCTTTGAGGAGATAGATTAGAAGCAGGACTGGGTCTTTGTAAGCTGACTGAGGCTGGGTGTAACAATTTCTGTCCATGTCTGCAGTATGGGTTGAACAAAGCTGAGCTTACACAAAGCCTGTCTGACCAAAGACTGCACTGCGTTTTATACAATCTCTTAGTACCTGTGGTGAACATGTGGAATAACGCTCAGAAAGTAACCCACATCATCCTCTAATAACCATACCAGGGACTCTACCTGGTCTGCACTAAATGGTGGGCAAAAATTCATCCCTGCATTCGGGGGAACCAGATGAAACCAACTCAGCACAAACCTCAATCAATAGCTGCACCTCAGAGAACTCTGTGCCCTGATCTACTAGAACATGAGCGAGCCGTATACATTCTAGCAGTTTTCATCCCGGGTATACTCCAGAGTTTGATAAGCATACTCCCTGTCATCAAACACTAGCAGATTATCGGCAAATACGCAACCTCATCCAGATCCATCCTTCCCATCAACAAACCAAGATGGCTTCCCTGTGCAGCCACTTCTGGTCAGGATTGCCTTGGTGTAATGTCAGGGTCTCCCGGGTATGAACCAGAGGTATGTGACTGACGCAGGGAAACGCAGACTTCCGAATAAGTTATAAACAATTTATTAACAAACTAACAAATACAAACATAAACGCAGTGCAATACCTTAAAAACATAACACAGTGCAAACGAACCAAACCAAACCACCCACAAGATAACAGTACATACAGTGCAAGCGTCGTCAGGCAGGCCGGGGCCAATATCAATCGGGCAGATAGGTACAGGGGGAGCAATGCGGAGAATAGTCAGGTCACGAGCAGGGTACAGCAACTAACAGGCAGGTAGGTAACAGGGGGTCAGCAGAGAATGGTCAGTGTCACAAGCCAGGATCATGAATCAAGAGAAGTCAGTAGAGGTCAGAATCAAGCCGGGTCAGCAACAAGACAGGAACAGGAACAGGAGCAGGAGCAGGAGCAGGATGCAGGAACAAGATACAGGGCCCAGGAAAAACACAACACCAAGGCAGAGGTCTGCAGGTCCCTGAATGTCCCGCTTAAATACACCAGTTTAATTAGTTCCAGGTGTTTTGGACTGGCTGCAAGGTTGAGTCTCTGATTGCTGGGAGCACCCGCTGGCCAGCCCTGGTACTGCCAGCTCACAAGGCAGATGAGTCCCTCCACTATTGCTGGCCAGTCCATTCCTGACATTGGGTGTTCATAATTGGAAGCCCAATCCAGTTCAGAGGCGAACCCCTTACCTTTATTCCAATTTTGCTGGTGATGTGACAGTTACACGTTCTGGTCTACCTTGCACTTTTATATTATTTAATGCCTGATGTTGTATCTATTGTCTTTTGATGGCTTGTGGCCTTTGAAAAAAGTTACCCTTTATAGATATGTATGTTTTCCATTTTATTTTACAGCTCTGTGAATGTGGTATAGTTTGAATAAAGAATTTGAAAAAAATCAAGCACCTAGGCTTGCAGACTGTTTCTACAAACATTTGTGAAAGAATGGGTTCGCTCTCAGGAGCATCAGTGAATTCAAGCTTGGTACCGTGATAGGTTGCCACCTGTGCCAATAAGTCCATCCAAGAAATGTCCTTGCTAATAAATATTCCACAGTCAACTGTTAGTGTAGGTATTGTAACAAAGTGGAAGCAACTGGAAATAACAGCAACTCATCCACGAAGTGGGCAGGCCACGTAAAATTACAGTGAGCGGGGTCAGCGCATGCATGAAGCACACAGTGCTTAGAAGTCGCCAACTGTCTGCAGAGACAATAGCTAAGGACCTCCAAACTTCATGTGGCCTTCAAATTAGCACAACAACAGTGCATAAAAAGCTTCATGAAATGGGTTTCCGGTGGTGGAGCAGCTGCATCCAAGCCTTACTCATCACCAAGTGCAATGCAAAGAGGTGGATGCAGTTGCGTAAAGCATGCCACCACTGGACTCTAGAATAGTGGAGATATGTTCTCTGGATCAACGAATCACACTTCTCTGTCTGGCAATCCAATGGACGTGTCTGGGTTTGGCGGTTGCCAGGAGAACAGTACTTGCTCTGACTGCATTGTTGCCAAGTGTAAAGTTTGTTGGAGGGGAGATTATGGTTATGGGGTTGTTTTTTCAGGGGTTGGGCTTGACCCCTTAGTTCCAGTGAAAGGGAACTCTTAAGGCTTCAGCATAACCAAGACAATTGGACAATTTCATGCTCCCAACTTTGTGGGAACAGTTTGGGGATGGCCCCTTCTTGTTCCAACAATGACTGCACACCAGTGCACAAAGAAAGGTCCATAAGGTCATGGATGAGCAAGTTTGGGGTGAAGGGAACTTGACTGGCCTGCACCTGACCTAAACTCGATAGAACACATTTGGGATGAATTAGAGTGAAGACTTCAAGTCAGGCCTTCTTGTCCGACATCAGTGGCCTGACCTCACAAATGCGTTTCTGGAAGAGAATGGTCAAACATTCCCATAAAGACACTCCTAAAAACCTGTGTGCACAGCCTTTCTGGAAGAATTGAAGCTGTTATAAGCTGCAAAGGGTGGACCAACTGAATATTGAAACCTACAGACTAAGACTGGGTTGACAATTAAATTTTATGTACTGTAAAGGCAGGTGCCCCAATGCTTCTTTTGGCAATACAGTGTAATATTATGCTATTAACAGATTTTGCTAGGCCCTGATATCTGATGCTCCGGCCCCAAATGTCCTGCTTAGTGCTCCAATTCGTGAATGGTCTACAAAGATGTACAATAAAGCTACTGTTAACTCTAGGCAGGTATAAAAAGTCATAGGTTAATGCATGCTCTTTGTAATCATGAAAATAAATAATACACACATTTTTTAACTGCAAGCACCTGAATCTGTTCTAGTGTCAGCTTTTACGAACCCTGTACAGCAAAGCTGTAGTCTGAGAGAAGAAGCAGTACAAGCAGACAATCAGTTCATGTGCTGACAAGAGGCATACTGATAGGAGGAGAAATCAGAGTGACAGAGAATTAGCTCATCACTGTACTGCTTCTCTTTTTTACTGTCTAACGCTCCAGTTCTAGTACAAACAAGTGGCAACCACTCCAATCTATAACTACATAGCCTTTGCAGTATGGGTGCACATGGTAGGATGAATGCAGATCACAAACAATTCGAAAATTACCAGCACACTTACAGCTAGACTGCAAAACACAAAACAACAAAAATAATTGTCCATGTCTGATAGTTCAAGTTAAAAACAGAAGGGTTTTGTTAGCACAAACATTTGCGAATATATATTTGTTAAGTGCACGAATCAAGGATCCTCTTTTGTACTGCAGTCCTAACTGTATAGTTTTGAGAGTCTCCAAGTTGGAGCATACATAGCAGTGGACAAATTAAGGGCAAGTTTGCTTGGAGGAGCCCACCCCTCCTTAAATGGAGGCCCAGGATGCATGGGATGCTCAGCAAGAGCACAATGGGCAGTTGAAGGCATCCAGTAGCATCCCCACATCACATTCAAACCAACTGTATAAACAAGTGGCAGCCATCCCAATCTTTTACAAACCTTGTTGCAGTAAGATGCATATGGAAGGGCAATGCACATCACAAACAAAAAAGTCCCAGCACACTACCAGCTAGCCTGCAAAAAAAGCCAACAAAACACCCCAAAATTGTCCGTGTCGAGACAGTTCCCATTAAGAAAACAGAGGGTTTCATTTGCACACATTTGCAAATATATGTGCATGCTGCAGTCCCTATGTCAAGGTTCCCAGTTCTTACCAGCCTGGTGACTTCACATGTCATTCTTCTTTTTTCAACAGTGACAAGGGGTGGAACTTCCTGATGCATTGAGCATTACATATATAATGATGTATGGGCACCATTAAGTCATGGAGTATTGTAAGTCTAGCTTGCATGATGACACACCCAAACGGAGCTTTAATTGACAATGCTGAACTGATAGGAAATGGTTTGAATGACACTGACTTTTATTCAACCCAGAGAGGACCAGTGGTACCACCAGTGGTGGAAAAAATACGGGGACAGTGCTGGATTGAGAACAGAATAAATAGAATTTGCCCCACATTTTTTTCACAGGAAGAGGAATTGGAAAATGTAACAGAAAAAGGATTTCCACATTAAGCATTTGAGTAAATGGCAAAGTGTTTTAGATAGCCTGCCAGAGGGTCAGGCATTTTTCAAACTAATGGGTTTCTGACCCTACAGGGAAAGAGGTATTGACCCAACAGCTCAAAAAAACACCTTTTTTCTCACACACAAACTAGACATCATGGTTACTAAGTTTTATCCCATTAAGTATTTGAATTATTTAACCTGCTTTACCATCCATGGCATTTCTGGAGTTTTTTTAGAGCTGTCAGAAATTGTGCACTACAGAAGAAGCGTAGCAATGCCCACCCCCTGCTAGCATTCTGGAAAGTTGTTAACTAAAACAGAAATAGGCATTGGCTATACAGTAGATATACTACTTTTTCAGGCTAAACATACCTTTTTGCTTGGGGCATAAAAAAGGAATGATTTTCAGTTAAGCAACAGACCTCTTCTATAGCTTGAAAAATGTATTTCCCCTTTCTTCGAGTGAAGTTTGTTTTCTTTTTCAACAACAAAGTATGATATGCTAAGTTTCTAAATAAT